AAAAGACCAAACTTTCCCTCATAAGGCAATTTACTTTAAAGAGTCTTTTGTGCTCTAGCTGGTTTGGCTCAGTGGATAGAGCATCAGCCTGTGGACCTAAGGGTCACGGGTTTAATTCCAGTCAAGGGCATGTACCTTGGTTGCAGGGTCCTCCCTGGCCCTGGAACCCTGGTCAGGGCTCCTGCAGGAGGTAACCAATTGATGGGTTTCTCTCACATCGATATTTCTCTGACTTTTCCTCTCTCTTCCACTCTCTAAAAAAAAGTCAATGGAAAAAATATCCTTGGGTAAGGATTAAAATAGTCTTTTGTGTTGTGTGAATGTCTTACCTTAAAATTTAATTATTATAAAAGTAGCCTGATATGGTATCTCAAATGCCCAAGTTTATAACAGCTTATAACAGTTTATAACAGCTTCGATTTAGATACTGTTTCATAGGTAAATAACAGAGCTTTTCTTTTTTTAATAGCAAGCATAACTTTACTCATTTTTAAACAATATATCTTGAAATAAACCATAAACCTCCAAACCATGCTAGGTTTTAATTTTTCTTTGTGATTAAAAAAATATTCCATATATGTACATGATTCACATATCAGAAAAAACTTATCAATGTAAGTTTTGCCTGTCACCTTGTATGCACATACCTTGTTCTTCCCACTCTCCATACTCAACAGATAATCATTTTTGTTAGTTTCTTGTGTATCTTCCTAAGTTTGGGTACAGTAATAGCAAATACATACATATATTTTTTTTCCTCCATATATTTTTTAATCTTCACCGAAGTTATGTTTTTATTGATTTTAGAGAGTGAGGAAGGGGGAGAGAGAGACATGGATGTGAGAAAGAAACATTGGTTACCTCCCGTATGTATCCCAGCCAGGGATAGAACCCACAACCTTTTTTATGTAAGGGATGATGCTCCAACCAACTGACCCAGCTGACCAGGGCTCCTTTTTTTTATACAAATGTAGCATACTATTTACACTGAAGAACACAGTTTCAATTATACTTCAATTACTTTGAATTATGTGGTTATGTTTAGAATCTTAAAAGACTGCATTGCTTGTTTCTTTTCCTCAGTAATTGATAAAAGCATCTTATTGCAGAAAGGCAAGAAAATCCATTATTGAAATTATAACCATATGTTTCAGTGGGAGGGTTATTTTCTCTTAAAATTTTCATTACTAAAACACTTGCATGGTTATTTTTTATTTGATCTTTATTTAAAAATCTTTGTTTTTTCTACCAGGCACTAAGCCTCACCATCTAAATTTATCTTTTACCACTTAACACATTTATTTTTACATTATTAATAGCTTTAAATATTTACATTCTGTGTTTGGGATTTAGCTTGGAATGATACACAATTTAACATTGAACACCTTTTGGGAAATATTTTTTGCATTTGCATAGATAAAATTGAAACCATATTTTCACGGTTTTTACGAGTGGAGAAACAGGTCTAATTCAAGTGGTTTATTGTGAACCTCTGAATATGATAAAGGTTTTTTCTCTTTGGTAAAGTAAGGTGCTTGAAAGCCTCCAAGATAACCCACAATGTTCCATGCATCCTGGTATTCACACCCTTGTGTAGTCCCCTCCCACACTGTACCAGTTGGTCTTTATGACCAATGGAATATGGTAGAAGGAATGGGATGTCATTTCTACGATTATGTTATAAAAGACTGGTTTCCATCTTTGCTGCATTTCTCTCCACCCTCTTTCATCCTTTTCTCTCCCATCTCCTTCCCTCTCTGTCTCTCTTTCTCCCTCTCTATTGGATCATTCCTCTTGGGGAAGCCATTTGCCAGGTGTGGGCAGCCCCATGGAGAGGCCCACTTGGTGAGGGACTGAAGTCTGACAACAACCACATGAGTGGAAGTAGATCCTCCAGCCCCAGTCAAGCCTTCAAATTGCAGCTCCAGCCAAAACTGCAACCTCATGGGAACCACTCAACTAAGCCACTCTCAGATTCTTGAATTTCAGCAACTGTGTAAAATAAACATTTGTTTTAAACTGATGTATTCTAGTGATTTATTTATATGCAGCAACAAATATGAGTTAACAAATAGATGATACCTTTATTTTTAGCAGCTGTAAGTAAAACTGGCTAAAAATGATAAATTGCTCTGACTGCATATTATCACCATTTATGGATTCCATGCCACAAGTAATGTGTGCTAAGGGCAGAGAACACTAAAAGAAAAAGTAGGATTTGGCCATGTACAAACAAAGATGCAATTATGGGAAACTTCCTGTTTCTGGAAATTACATGCTAGGATATTTAGATCATGCTCTTGCCAAAAACAACTAAAGCTGATTAAGATACAAAAAATCATCTTAAGCCCTGACTGGTTTGGCTAGGTGGATGGAGCGTCGGCCTGCGGACTGAAGGGTCCCGGGTTCGATTCCAGTCGGGGGCATGTGCCTTGGTTGCGGGCACATCCCCAGTGGGGGGGGGGGGGGGGTGCAGGAGGCGGCTGGTCGATGTTTCTCTCTCATCGATGTTTCTGACTCGCTATCCCTCTCCCTTCCTCTCTGTAAAAACTCAATAAAATGTATTTTAAAAAATCATCTTAAAACATGAAGGAGATTTTAAGGCAGCAAGTGATGTCCTGTCCAAAGGTAAGAAGAGAAGTTAAGTGAACATGGGGCCCTACTGTGACAACCTTACGGAGTAAAGGGGACATAGCAAAGTTCAAGGCCTACACAAGGTGGTGAATCTAACAGAATTTTCCCAACAGAGGCTGAGACCTATCCCAAACGGTTTCAGTCTTTGGATGAGGATGAACCAGAAGTATAAATTATGCAAAAGTATAGCCAAGTTTAGAATTGCCCACATTGCACAAAGAATCTGAAGCATTCAACCTGCTTTAAGGTGGTCCCACACTGGAGACGTCTCCTGGTGCTGTCACCATGGCAAAAATGTAAATCCTCTCCATAGAAAAGTAATTTCACTGTAGGCCTCAAATTACTTTTCAAATGTAACATCTAACACAGTAAAAAATAAAAAGTAGGCACAAATGGAAACTAGTCTCCAGAGGCAAGAATTAGTAGAAACAATGAAAACAAACTCAGACAGACTTAGGCATTAGATTTATGCCTTCTGTGTTTAAAGAAATAATAACAATTTCAAAATCAAGCATGCGGTACCTGTATAGCAGGGGTGGGCTATGGAATTTGGAAATGACTTAGCTATTTTTGCCTAAAGTTAACCTATAGCTATAAGAGCCTTAACTCAGTTTAGAGAAGGGTACTAATGAATCTACCCTATAAGACACCATCGCATAAGGACATCTTAATGAAGTTAAGATTGAACAAATAATGTTCCATAATTTGTACGACCTATATAGTTTCTATATTGTGCATGCCTAAAAATCACAAAGAATACATATGCAGTAAGTAACGCCGATTGCCTGATATGGGAGATAGAGTGAGGGTGAGTATGGAGGTAGACTAGGGGTTTAGGGGGTCTATAATTTCATATCCCTTTCTTAGAAAAGAAACATTTAAAAATAACTTGCATATGTGATTATAAATTATCTCAAAATATTTTAATTTTTGTTAATTAAGAGAAAATGAAAATAATATGGTACAAGAACATATTTATATATAAAAAAGGCCAAGCAACTGTCCGACTAGGGGGCAGACACTCAATGCAGGAGCTGCCGAGCTGTGGTGACTTGGCAATGGTGGTTCTCAGGTGATACACCTGGAACCAGAAAGGAGGGAACCCAATTCCGGGGTGCATCATCCAAGATCTGGGACCCCTCAGGGGATGTTGGAGAGCCGGTTTCAGCCCGATCCCCACAGGCCAGGCTGAGGGACCCCCCCTCCCCCCCACCTGCTGGAGCGACCCCGCTCATTCCACAGACACCCTTCAAGCAGGGGCACCACCCCAGGTGCAGCGGGCCAGGGAGGATCACGGCAGGTTGGCTCCAGGGTGTGTCCCGCCCATCTCTCCAGTCCCACCCCACCGGCCACCTTCTAATTTAATTTCCTTTTAATGTCCACAAATCTGTGCACCGGGGGACTAGATTCTGAATAAACAAATATGGCAATGCTGCCAAAACTTAATTGTGAGCTGGCAGGCAGTGCCTGAAATAAATAATACTACGGAAAACCAAATTTGGCATTATAAAAGAAAGTCTGGTAAGTAATATGTGTCAAGATATAATGTAAAGCCGAAACCGGTTTGGCTCAGTGGATAGAGCGTCGGCCTGTGGACTGAAAGGTCCCAGGTTCGATTCCGGTCAAGAGCATGTACCTGGGTTGCGGGCATATCCCCAGTAGGAGATGTGCAGGAGGCAGCTGATCGATGTTTCTCTCTCATCGATGTTTCTAACTCTCTCTCTCTCTCCCTTCCTCTCTGTAAAAAATCAATAAAATATATATATATTTTTAAAAAAAAGATATAATGTAAAGTGTAATACGCTGTTCTTAAACATTCGGAAGCTGAGTAGTGCAAAATCTCGCACTTAAAAAAAACAAAAACCACATTCAAGCCCAGCATGTAAAGGGAAGGCATTTTCTTCGCAGTTGCCTCAGTAAACTTCACAGTCTTCTCACCAGTTCCAAAACCTGCTTCCAGTTTTATTTTTTTCACTTGGAAATCCTTGTAATGATATTCCATCCACGGAACTAGTAACACTATAGAATAAAACGTAATACAACAGAATTATTACTACTAAGGTGCTTCTTATGAAATGAATTATTAGATTTGAACAAATGGAGTAAGAAAAATTAGGAAAGTTATAACTTACAATTCCTAGATTTATTAAATTTCAAGTCCCACCTGCGGTTGCCTTGGCAGGGCCAGACCTAAAGATTTTGGGGCCTCACCCTCTTCCTCTGTCTACCCAGACCCTGGCCTATCTGCAAAACTACCTACCTTTTTTCTGACTATTTTTCCCAAAAACACAATTCGCGCGACACTTGAACAGCCCAGGGCCGCGGAGCCTGCGCACCAGCCGCAGCCTCTGCGCCTGCGCATTCTCGCCACCCCCGCCGCTTCCACCTCCGCTTCCCAAGCTGCTCTCAGGCCGCGCTCGGAGACTGACGGCTCATCCCTCGTTCGCTGAGTCTTGTTTCCACGCCACCTGCGAAGGGTCAGCCGCGGTGCCCACGGCTTAGCGCTTGCAGACCGCAGGCGTCTGTTCCCATGGCAACGACCGCTGGGGGCCCTGGTAAGCACCAGTCCCCGCTCCGCAGAACGGGCTCCGCATCCTGCCTGCACTTCCTTGCCCTGTGCGTGGGAAGAATGGGGGAATGGGACACTTTGAGAGACACCTCTGGCAGCGCCCCTCCCTTTTTTGGATCCTGGCAATCCGCATTCTCAGCGCGCGTCCACAATCCATTGGCCTGGAACCTTGGTTCTGCGTGGGTGTTAAGAGGGGGGGGGGGGGGGGGGACATTCTGACGACAAAGAGTGGCAAGAATATTGCGCCCTACTTCGTGTTTTTTAAGAGAAGTTTTAGGCTCATAGGAAAATTGAATGGGAGAAACAGATTCCCCATATATTCCCTACCTGGATACATGCATAGCCTCCCCATTATCAACATTCCCCAGTGAGCAGTACAGTTGTGAACCTGCATTGACACATCATAATCACCCAAAGTCCAGTTTACCAGGGTTCACTCTTGGTGCTGTACATTCTATGGGTTTAGACAAATGTATAATGATATGTACCCAATCCTATGGTATCATACAAAATAGTTTCTCTGCTCCCAAATACTCTATGATCCAACCCTTATCCCACCCCAATCCCTGGCAACCACTGATCTTTTTACTATCTCCATAGTTTTGTCTTTTCCAGAATGTCATATAGCTGGAATCATATATTATGTCACCTTTCAGATTGGCTCCTTTCACGTAGTAATATGCTTTTAAGTTTCCTGCATGTCTTTTTATTATTTGATAGCTCATTTCTCTTTTAGCATCAAATAGTATTTCATTGTTTGGGTATGCCACAGTTTACCCATTCACCCTCTGAAGAGCAGCTTGGTTGCCTCCAAGTTTTGGCAATTATGAATAAAGCTGATGCAAACGTCCGTGCGCAGGTTTTTGGACGATAGTTTTCAGCTCCTTTGTGTAAATATCAGGGAGTACAACTGGATCATATGGTAAGAGTACATTTAGTTTTATAAGAAACTGCCAAACTATCTTGCAAAGTGTCTGCATTATTTTTCATCCCCACCAACAATGACTGAGAGTTCCTGTTGCTTCCCATCCTCACCAGCATTTGTTATATCAGTGTTCTGGACTTTGGCCATTCTAATAGGTGTGTAGTTGTGTTATCGGAGAAATGCATGGGTGTTTTGGGGGGTTTTTTTGCTAGTGGGAGTGGAGTCCTTAGGATATCTCAAAAAAAAAGAATTTTCTGAGACTCACATGGAAGGATGAGTGATCTTTATTTGTGTGGAATTACATCTCTGGGTTTGTAAAGTCCCATTTCCCTTAAACCAGTCCTGGAAGATGTGCATCTAGGGATTCAGTAGAGCTAAAAGCAATGCCAGCATCCAAAGTTTCCATTCCATGATGGAATTGGGTCCAGTACAGTAATAGGCTAGTTACAGTTATTCAGTCCATTGTTTGGGGACGCATGGCTCTGGGCCATGTGGGCAAATGCAGGGGACCCAAGAGAGTGCACCCCCTGCAATAAGAGTCCCAAGAGATCAAGAAGCAAACTCCTTTTAGGAGCTTAAGTATCTCAAATCTTCAGGTGCTTGAAGTAGCCACACCTACTATAGCTAATGACCTATTTCTAGGTGTGATTGACAGGCAAGTACCTTCCCTATTTCATCCAGACTTTACTGGGCTTTATTCTAAACTGCAGCTTTCTGGTAAAGCTGCACAGATGACACGTTCATAATATTTGGCCTTCTCTTTGCTTCTTCCCAGTTATTATAACTAGGTTATATTACAACGAGAGGCCCAGTGCATGAAATTTGTGCACTGGTAAGGTGGCTGCTGGCCAGCCGGTACTCCCTCCCTTCCCCTGGCTGGCCCCACCCCCTGGGCAAACTCCTGGGCAAACTCCCAGTCGAGGGGACAATTTGCATACTATGCTTTTATTATATAGGATGGTATCAGTTGTACTTTGTTGTTTTGTGTTTCTCTTATGACACATGATGTGGAACACCTTTTCATATGCTTGCCATCTGTTTATCTTCTTTGGTGAATTGTTTGTTGAGGTCTTAAAATTGGGTTGTTTTCTTATTGTTGAGTTTTAAGAGTTCTGTGTATATTTTGGATAACAGTCCTTTATCTGATGTGTCTTTTGCAAATATTTTCTCCCAGTCTGTGGTTTGTCTTATTCTCTTGATGTTGTCTTTCCCAGAACAGAAGTTTTTCATTTAATTAAGTCCACCTAATTCATTATTTCTTTCATAGATGGTGCCTTTGGTGCATAAATAAAAAGTCATTGCCATACTCAAGGTCATCTAGGTTTTCTTCATATTATCTTTTAGGAGCTTTATAGTTTTACATTTTACATTTATGCCTATGGTCCATTTTGAGTTAATTTTTATGAAAGGTATAAGGTCTTTGTCTAGATATCATTTTTTTGGTTGTGGATGTCCAGTTGTCCCAGAACCATTTGTTGAAAAGACTGTCTTTGCTTCATTGTATAGCCTTTGCTCCTTTGTCAAAGATCAGTTGACTATATTTATGGAGATCTATTTGGGGGCTCTTCATTCTGTTCCATTGATCTGTTTATTCTTTCACCAGTACCACTCGGTCTTGATTACTTTAGCTTTATAGTAAGTTTTGATGTTAGGTAGTGTCATTACTGTGTTCTCCTTTAATATTTTGTTGGTTCTTCTGGGTTTTTTTGCTCTCCATATAAAGTTTAGAATCTGCCCTGGCTCATGTAGCTCAGTTGATCAGTTGTCATCCCATGCATCAAGAGATTGCTTGTTCAATTCCTGCTCAGGGCACATGTTCAGGTTATGGACTCAATCGCTGGTGGGGGCGTGCACAGGAGCTGATCGATGTTTCTCTTTCACATTGATGTTTCTCTCTTGCCTTCTCCCTTCCTTTCTCTCTGAAAATCAATAAGCTATTTTTTAAAATTTAGAATCAGTTTGTCAGTATCCATGAAATAACTTGGTGGGATTTTGATTAGAATTGCTTGGATCTATAGGTCAAGTTGGGAAGAACTGACATCTTGACAATATAATCTTTTTATTTTTGAACATGGATAATCTCTCTATTTAGTTCTTTAATTTCATTCACCAGAGCTTTGCAGTTTTCCTCATATAAATTTTGTACATGTTTTGTTAGATTTATACCTGAGTATTTCAGTTTCTGAGGTGCTAATGTAAATGGTATTATTTTCCATTTCAAATTCCACTTGTTCATTGTTCATAAATAGAAATTCAGTTGACTTTTGTACATGAACCATGTATACTTCAACCTTTTCAGTTTAAATTTTTTCCTGACTGTAAACATAATGCATGATCATTATAGAACATTTATAAACTATTTTGAAGTAGGAAAGGAATCCACCTAATGATAATACTCAGAGGCCCCCAGAGTAACTTTATGGTACATTTTTGAACAATTCTGACTTTTAAGAAAATATAGTTAAAATCATAGCATATTTGCCATCATATACTATATATCTCTTTTTAAAAGTTTCACTATTTAAAAAACATACAAACTAGTTTTTTAAAGCATTAGTTTTTAGTGACTTAGAACAACACAGATTTGTTATTTTATAATTCTGACGTGGGTCTCACTGAACTAAAATCAAAGTGTCAGCATGGCTACATTCCCTCTAGAGCAGTGGTTCTCAACCTGTGGGTCGCCTAAGACCATCAGAAAACACATATATAATTACATATTGTTTTTGTGATTTATCACTATGCTTTAATTATGTTCAATTTGTAACAATGAAAATACATCCTGCATATCAGATATTTACATTATGATTCATAACAGTAGCAAAATTACAGTTATGAAGTAGCAACGAAAATAACTTTATGGTTGGGGGTCACCACAACATGAGGAACTGTATTAAAGGGTCGCGGCATTAGGAAGGTTGAGAACCACTGCTCTAGAGGGTCTGGGGGAAAAATCAGTGTAACATAACTTTGAGATGACTCTGTATCTATATATAGAGATTTGCCTCATTCTTTTTAATGGCTGCTTAATGTTCCATTCCCTGGATATACTATAATTTATTCAGTGTATTTACTGTTGGTGGATATTTAGGTTATTTTCCCCTTTTGTTTTTATAAACAGTGCTGCAATAAATATCTTTATATCAAATGTGTCATTTCCCACATGTAAGCACATCTGTTATGGAATAAATTTATGAAAATTTATAAAAGTGAAATTTCTGGGTCAAAGGATAGATGTATTTTTCTATTTAAAAATCTTTTTCCTTTTTTTCTTTTTATTGAGCTAATTTGCACACTTACAGCTCATTCATTTTTTTTTTAATATATTTTATTGATTTTTTACAGAGAGGAAGGGAGAGAGATAGAGAGTTAGAAACATCGATGAGAGAGAATCATCGATCAGCTGCCTCCTGCACATCTCCTACTGGGGATATGCCCGCAACCCAGGTACATGCCCTTGACCGGAACCGAACCTGGGACCTTTCAGTCCGCAGGCCGACGCTCTATCCACTGAGCCAAACCGGTTTCGGCTCATTCATTTTTAAAGCATGCCATTCATCTGTTTTTTAGTACTAGTATATTCAGAGTTGGTATATAATCATCAGCACAATCAATTTAAAAACATCACCACAGAAAGATGTAAAAATAGGGGAAGGGACATACGTGAACTCCCTGTATCTTTCACTCAATTTTTTTTTTTGTAGAGCTACTGGTAAAACTGTTCCCCCCAAAGTCTTAATTCAAAAAATTGCAACTAATTTTGCCTTTCTCTTGGCCCTATCTTCAAAGTTATAGCCTACTTAAAATAGAATTAATGTCATAGATAATTTGAGTCATCTTAAAGTCTATAGATATATATACAGTTGTGGCTAAGTACAAGGTAGCAATTTCATCCATTAACAGGGCAAGGAGAACTTTTTACTTAAATTTTTTTTAGTTTCTGGAGTCATGGTATTTTATTATTAGTATATAGGTTATCCTTATAAAAAATTTGACTGCAGTGTGTTTAATAGTTGAATGGTACTGTGGACCAGTATATACCATTAACTAACATTTACTTTTTTCTGGTAACATGCATAATTACCTTTTTTGTAAGGCTTCTAGTGTATCTCTAAAACTTCATTGTTGACATCCACATCAGTCACATATTTTATCTTGAGAATATACTATGATTAAATTATTTTTCCATTGTTGGACATGTCTGTTATAGCCAATAGTTAATGTGCCTTCTAAAAATGCCTAACTTAAATATTTAAAATACGATGGCCATGTATTTTCACCTAAAAGTCTCTGATTCTATTACATATGCAAAATAGGGCCTAGTGTTTTGGGTAGGAAATTGCTTGGGGGATAGTGGATGCTGCAGCCTAATTCTCTCCTTTATTCTATAGTCCCACATACAGAGTGGTTGCTGAGTCCCATGTATGTTATTTTGAAGTTATATGCTTCTCTTTTCTGTAATCAATTTTTACTTTTTCTTTTCTTTTCTTTTTTAAAAAAAATACATTTTATTCATTTTTTACAGAGAGGAAGAGAGAGGGATAGAGAGTTAGAAACATCGATGAGAGAGAAACATCAATCAGCTGCCTCCTGCACACTCCCCACTGGGGATGTGCCCGCAACCAGGGTACATGCCCTTGACCGGAATGGGACCTGGGACCCTTGAGTCCACAGGCTGACGCTCTATCCACTGAGCCAAACCGGTTCGGGCAATTTTTACTTTTTCTTAATGTGTTATCAGCAGTTTATGATGGCTGGCCATTTTTAGTTTTTTAACTGTTGTTAGGCAGAATTAATAAATAACAGAAGATACAATCTCCTGCATAGGGAACTTGCAGCCATTTGGCAGGCACTTAAATGTTTAAATAAATGAACAAGAATTAGGGAGGTAAGATTATAGATAACTGTTTTCATTGTTTTTCAGCTTTTTCTCATTGCTATTGTAGGATATGGCATAATTTGGGATAGATCTGAATTCAAGTGTTTTGGTCTCAGTTAACTCATATTTTAATGTTTAATTAAAATAAACTCTGGTCTGCCAAAAAGTAATTATAGATATGGGGAATTATATATGTTTGTACATGCTAGATAAATCTGTGAATATTAACTCAGGTATTTACTTAGTCATTCATATAAATGTTGCTGAGACTCATAATCTGAAGGTAAATATGCTTAACTGTGTAATTTAAGGTTCTAAATTGTTAATGTAAATATGGAATGGGGCTTTAGGTGGAGAAAACAATTAAATGTACAAAATTTAGAAGCTTTTAATACAGCTTTGGCTTAACATGTTTTTAAGGGGCCTGGAATCCATGTGACATAGTGTGAAAATTCCTGCTTTAAAATATCTGTGTCTTACCTGTTTTTTTCTTTCTTTCTACATACTTTTTCATGCTTCTGAAATTCAGACTATCCTATATGTTTACTAGTTATTACTTACATCATATGTAGCATGTTTATATATTTATATATATTAAATACCTGCCATATCATACTTGTTCTCATTTTTTAAAATCTCATGTTTTTCTTCGTTGAATTACTTTATTCTCTCTGCTGTGCCCTTTTTTATTAACATTATTTACCCCATATAAAACAATCTATTCTTTTTCATGGAAATGCTGTTATTTTAGGATCTTGGAGCGAAAATATACTGCAGTATTTTCTGAGAAATAACCAGATCACCACAGAAGATGGTGCCCAGATCACCTGGTATCATGCTGCTAACCAGAAGGCACAAATGAATGAGGCACTGAAAAGTAAGTCAGTGCAGTTATTTATATTTACATTGGGTAATAGATGAATCCAACTCTTTAAAAAATATCTGAGCATATATGCAGGTACCAGACACCTTTTATTTTTCTCAAAAGGTCTGGCATCTTCTGCAGTCCCTATTTTGTAAGTATTAACTTCTTTTATTTGGACAGGCACTGCCCACATGATAGAGGCTGATGTCCTCCTCCCAAGTGAGGGATCTGACCATGGCCAGCCGATCATGGCCCATCCCCCTGAAACAAGTAGTGATAATACTCTCCAGGAATGGCTGACTGAAGTTACAAAAAGCAATAAAGGCATCAAGCTGGATTTTAAGAGGTATTTATACAAATATATTCAGTCTTCTGGTTGTTACAGAATAATTTTTTTTGGGGGGGGGGAGTTAATAGCCTTTCATATCTGTTCCTGACTGACTAACTTTGTACTTTTATCTAAGTTGAAATGGAATTGCAGACTGATACATTCTAGGAATGGATCTAAGACCCACTGAGCTGTTTAAAGTTAATTTTTATAAAGGAATTTACTGTAAGTGACCATACGGTAATACAACAGTAAATTTACAATGCTACCTTTGTTAAAAGGTAGTCCAGAAGAGAAGGAATTGAGAGAATTTTGTTGAGGTAGTTAATGCATATTCTACTTGATTTATGTTGTTATATTTGTGTATAGGGGATTATTTAGATTTCTTCAATAACTGAAATATTCCTTAAAAATAGTATTTTGGAGGCATTGATAATGAAGAGCAAGATTAAGTGCCATTTCCTTCCCTGTAGCTTTCACAGTAAGTTTTACTTTTCTGGTATTTTGGTAGTGTGAAAATTATAGGTAAAGCCAGAAATATATTGGGTCACCATAGAAGCTCACCATAAGCACTAAAGCAACTTCTATGAAAATCTAGGATTTGTGGTAAGCCTACTTCATCTCTGAACAATATTTTTGAATTGAATGATCTCAAGAAATTAATAAAGATTTGGAAATCTGCCTGGCTGGTGTTGCTCAGTGGTTGAGCATCAACCCATGAACCGGGAGGTCACAGTTTGATTCCTGGTCAGAGCACATGCCCAGGTTGTGGGTTTGATCCCCAGTAAGGGGTGTGCAGGAGGCAGCTGATTGATGATTCTCTCTCATCAGTGATGTTTCTATCCCTCTCTGCCTCTCCCTTCCTCCCTCTGGAGAAAAAATAATATATATTTGGAAATCTTTATTCATAGAGTTATTAAGAGGACTCTAGTCATTGTTGTGGGGCTAAATATACCAATAAACCTCCTTATACTGTTGGTGAATTCCAGAGCTATTTGCAGTAAATGGAAAAACTTTTAAGATGGTGAATGTTCCAATTCCATTTAATTGACCAAGAAATTTAGTCCCAGAGTAGTTAAGTGATTTACTTAAGGACAACAGCTGAGCTTGGCAGCTGAGCGAGGACCAGATTTCAGGTTTCCTGGAGCTAGTTCAATATGCCATGAAACAGTACTTGATCTTTAATGCCTGGTGACTCAAAGTTTTAGAGCTCCTTGCCTTTTCGTGTGTTTAGTTTTTTGTATGTTTATTATTGCCCCTGGAGTTATTCCCTGTGATGTATTCTTTGGCTCCTTGCCAGTCAGATTAGCTCATTTATTTTTTTAGATCTATATATTTATTGATTTCAGAGAAGAAGGGAGAGCTAGAGAGAGATAGAAACTTCTATATTGTCAATCATTGATCACCTGCCTTCTGCACGCCCCCTACTGGGGATCAAGCCCACAACCTAGGCATGTGCCCCAACCAGGAATCAGTTCACAGGTTCATGCTCAATCACTGAGCCACACCAGCAGGGCAGCTCATTCATTCTTAAACATTGACAGCTACTACAAAAGGCCAGTAAAAAAAAAAAAAAGACTTTTTGGTAATAACATATTTGAAGGGTGTTGCCCGTCTGCCTAGAAATTGCACCCTGAAGCAAAACTCTTCACCTTCTCAGTAAGAGAAGCTGAATGACCTTTTAGTCAAAATTTACTACTCGCCAAAACCGGTTTGGCTCAGTGGATAGAGCGTCGGCCTGCGGACTGAAAGGTCCCGGGTTCGATTCCGGTCAAGGGCATGTACCTGGGTTGCGGGCACATCCCCAGTAGGAGATGTGCAGGAGGCAGCTGATCGGTGTTCCTCTCTCATTGATGTTTCTAACTCTCTATCTCTCTCCCTTCCTCTCTGTAAAAAATCAATAAAATATATTTAAAAAAAAAAATTTACTAGCTCTTGTTTTGTACATTGAAGTTAACTTGTTCAGTAATAATATTAACTAAGTAATATATGATGATTTAAAATTTTTATTTGGAGTAGCAAACTCCCCTGTGTTTTAGCAAAAATTATTTCCCCTTAGAATATAATTTTAAATGAGTTATTGTAATTTTAAGTGTGATTTTAATTATGTCATCCCTAATTTCTAAATGAATTTAATAGAAAAATAGGATGTGATATTCAGAAGTTTGACATACAAGTAACTTTTTAGGAAAAAGAATTTATTCTATAAAAACAAAGTTTAAATTTTTTTCTAGGGATTTAGAAAAGTACTAAGCAAAGAGAAATTTTAGATAGTATTCTGATCAGGACTTCCCTCTTCAAATTATCAGTGTGGCAAACCTTTAAACAGTCCTTTATGGGAAACTTAATACTAATACATGTAAGAACTGAGAATGTAATTAGAATTACATGGAATTTATAGTTTAACTAGAGGCCTGGTGCATGAAATTCATGCATGAGAAGGGTCCCTAGGCCTGGCCAGCGATCAGGGCCAATCTGTGGGGTGACTGGCAGGGCGTTTGGGACCCCCGCTGGCACCTGCCTTGTCTGGCCTGGCGCCACCCACTCACTATCCCCACCCCCTACCGGTCAGGGCCTGTGGGCAGCTCGTGCATTGAGCATCTATCCCCTGGTGGTCAGTGTGCATCATAGCAACTGGTCATTCCACTGTTCCGTCGATTTGCATATTAGGGTTTTATTATATAGGATTGAGAGGGATGTGTCATTATACAGGATTTATAATATTGGGTCTTCCAGGCTTTTCCTCCACATATACTCCTTTAGGATTATCTTGTCAAGTTCTAGAAAAATAAGAACTATAATAACGAAAGTGTTATTTCCTTTAGTAAGGTTTTATGTTTTACTTAATGTAGGTTTTGTTTTTCATATTTAAGTGTTTAGTAAGGGAGAGTATCATTACTTTTTGTATTAGTAGTCTATATTAGTGGTAACTAAAATATTTACATATAAAATAGAATATGTATATTAAATTCTTGCTTCATTGTGTCTTGTGTCATAGTTTCTTATTGCCACAGTGCTTTACATGTAGTATATGCTGATGGAATTTCACTTATATATGCTGGAGGAATTTCAATTTTGGGGAGAAAATTCTGTTTGACACTAGATATTGTCAGATGGAAAACCAATGTTAAACAGCCCTATGTCAGCTTTCTAAATTGAGGAAGCCTAAAAAGTTCCCCCAACCTCTGCAAACACCAGATTTCTTAAGAAATCAGAGTCCTTTCCAGAAAAGAGTTTCAGGGTTTCCCCCTCTGCTGCACCCAGGAGGAGCAGAACCCCATAGGACTTGCAGACATGCAAGCTTTGGAATCACAGGTATAAGGTGCTTGCTACCAAAAATGGGGGAATTTGTAGGAAGTACAGTGTCAGATGACCAGTATTGTCGTTTTAACATGGTATTGATACCCTTCAAGGCAGAATGCATTTGAGACAGAGAAATACAGAATCTGCATTAGAATTTGCAGTGTTAGAGTTTATTAGTCCACTAAGATCTAGGGCCTCCAATAAAAAAAAGAATGAAATCTTACCATTTGAGACAGCATGGATGGACCTAGAGGGTATTATGCTAAGTGAAATAAGTCAGACAGAGAAATACAAATGCCATGTGATTTCACTTGCATGTGTAGTCTAAAGAACAATATAAATGAACAACAAAACAGAAACAGACTCCTAGGTATAGAGAATAGACTCATGGTTGCCAGAGGGGAAGGGCATTGGGGAACTGGTGAAAAAGGTGAAGGGATTGAGAAGTGCATATTAGTAGTTACAGAATAGTCATGGAGATGTAAAGTACAGCATAGGAAATATGGTCAATAATATTGTAATAACTATGTATATGCCAGGTGGGTACTGAAAATATCAGAGGGAACACTGTAAAGTATATGATTATATAGCTACTATGCTGTACACCTAGAAACGAATACAAAATAATCCTGAATGTTAATTGTAATTGAAAAATATTTTTTAAATTAAAACAATATATATATAAAATCTAGGCCCTCCATTCCAGGGGCAGAAGAGTGGGGGAAAAGAGCTTACCACATGGGAGCAGAGTGAAAGGCTAGCGGCTGGTCTCCTCTGCTTTTAATGCACAGTATCCTTGCTCACTAATAAACGTGACCCCAGAAATAACGGGATTATCAGTTTTTCTTCGTAAAATAGAGGGCCCAAAAGGAGTGGAGTGAAAAGCGGTAGAAGCATAAGCAGAAGGATGCCAGTCCCTTAGTAAGAAAGATGGAAATGTGGAGAGGGGATGCTGAATGTTTTCCCCCCCAACATCCATCTTTCAAGTTCTTAGCCTCCCATCACAGTAGTCACTAAAAGCTAATTTTCTTAGAAATCAAAATAGGCCTTAAAGGGTCTGAAATGGTTCAGCATTATAAGTAGTATAGTTTCCAGAAAAGTGTATGTATACATTTTTTAAGAGGAAAAATTAGATAGTCTGAGTAAAACCTTATTGTTTCAAAATCTCTAGGTCTATCGGTCATTGACAACAAACTGTGTTTTCAGTCTGGCAGCTGTAGAGCCAGCCATGATGCTCTTGGAAAATGTGAAGAAGCGTCTGAAGCGTCCTGTGTGGATTAACGCTGATATTCTTCCCGGTCCAAATGGAAGCAGCAGAGTAGTGGATGCAAAACCTTTTATAGACACTGTGACTTCCTTCTTTCCAGATGTGACCTTTTCCTTGGGTTGGACAACAGGATGGCATCCTGAGAAAGTTAATGAAGGTAATAATTTTTAAAAATGTATTTCTTGGTGGTCAAATTAAAATATACTCTAGCCCAACCGGCATGGATCCGTGGTTGAGCGTTGACCTATGATCCAGGAGGTCACGGTTTGATTCCCCGTCAGGGCACATGCCCTGGTCGCGGGCTCGATCCCCAGTGGGGGGGTGTGCAGGAGGGAGCTGATTAATGGTTCTCTCTCATCATTGATATTACTATTTCTCTCTCCTTCTCCCTTCATCTATGAAATCAATAAAAAAATATTTAAAAAATATATAAATACTGAAAATATAAAAATACCTTTAATACAAAACCAAAAGCACATTCCACAAAATCTAAGAACCTAATGGAGAGAAAGGTCTAGCGCTAAAGATACGTGTATGATTCTTCTTTCTATTATTTCAGTAGACACTTCACTCACTGGTGACATTCTGTCACCAGCTTCCATGGGAAATATTTATTGGCAAGGTCTAGATGAAAGCTGCCTCTGTACATACTTTAAACAAATCCTAAGTTGGTCTCTTTGAACTTGTAAAACATTCTATAGTCTTTTTTTTTTTCTTTTTACTGTGGAGCAAGCTCCCATTGTTAGATGAAAGATAAAAAAAAAAAATGGTTTTAAGAGCTTTCCATGTGATTTGAGGCCAGAAGTAGGGCGAGTGTGAGTGCTGCTCCCTGGACATTGGAAGGGGCTCCCATGTAGGGTGCCGGGGCCTTGGTGCCCTCCTGTTCTCTTTGGCTGGATAAGAGTGTGGGAGGCCATGCACTTCTTTCTCCTCTAGGCTCGATCCCTTCTTTCCTTCACATGTTTCTACAGAAGGACCTGATATTTTCAGCTTCTCTTTTCTGGCTGAAACTTACTACACTATTTGAATTCATCTTTCTATTTCTTCATACATCCCTAGGTAGTAATTTCCAGGTAAACAGCCAGTAAGCCATCAGATGCTATGGACACCTGTCCATGCGGTTAAAATGATGAACTAAGAAGGTATTTAGAACCTATGGAGATGTGAGCTTTTATCCTGTGTTTAGGGCATTCATTTTTTACTTTTTTACTATTACTGTTTTTATTTATTTTTATTAAATGTATCAGGGTGACATTGGTTAATAGGAACATAGAGGTTTCAAGTGTACATTTCTGTGATACAAGATCTGTATATTTCACTGTATGCCCACCACCCAAAGTATTATTGTTTTAGATAGGAAGTTTTTTAGTCTAACATGAGATTTGAATAACTACTATCTAGTGACATTTAGGTTATAATCTCTTGGACCAATAATTGTTATGATTGAGAGAAAAAATAATATGTATAATATGTTTTAACTTAATTCTACTTCAACTTTCTAATCATTCAAATTTTTATTAATTTCATTAAAAATTGTAACATATAATTTAAAGTGTTTAAAGAAGGTAAACCAGAAATGATTTAGTACCTTGCTTACTAATTCTGAACTTCTTTTAGTCACTGTTTAACTCAGACTTTAACCTCAGCCTTGAATTGAGTTAAACCATATCTGGGTCTTTAAGTCATGTTGGTGTTGAATTATTTAAGGCTGCTTTCCCACACTGGCCTCTTGTCATTACCAACGTGTGTTTTATCCTCCCTTGCTTCTTATGCCACAAATTTTATAAAGAGATTTTATGTTTTTGTTAATGGAAGTATAGCTTCTGTTAGCAATAATGTTAAGTGTAGCTTCTATTAGCAAATTTTCTAATTAAAGATGTATAATTTTTTTCAGATTCAAAAGGAAAGCAGACATTTCCCTTCTTTCATGAGAAATTTAACTGCTAACCTAACATATTCACATAGGCTTTCTGTAAAATGCTCTTTTACTGACCAATGCTTTTTTACAACCTGCTTTTGATAGATTCTGGGTTATTTTAGAAATACAATTTTTTTTTCTAAAGTTTTATAAACAGTTAGGTGTGATTTTTACAATGTCCTAGCATGATTGAGAGCACATATATAAAAGTCTACCACTATGTCTATTTTAGGTAAAATGTATTAGAAATCTGGACTAGCCAAAAGCTTAAAAATTGAAGTTAAATGTCACCCTGATAAATTAAAGAGGAATACGTAAATAAATAAATAAAATTTAAAAATTTCAAGTTAATTATTACTTAACTAGAGGCCCGGTGCACAAAAATTTGTGCACTTGGGGGGGAGGGGGGGTTCCTCAGCCTGGCCTGTGCCCTCTCGCAGTCTGGGCCCCTCGGGAGATAACGACCTGCTGGCTTAGGCCTGCTCCCAGGTGGCAGAGGGCAGGCCCAATCCCTAGGTGCAGCCCCTGGTTGGGCTCAGAGCAGGGCCGATTGGGGAGTTGGGGTGCCGCCCCGTCATGCACAGAGCAGGGCAGATTGGGAGGTTGTGATGCCACCCTCAGTCACGCTCAGGGTAGGGCCGATTGGGGGGTTGGGGCACCATCCCCTGTCACACTCAAGGCAGGGTCGATGGGGAGGTTGTGGCGCCACCCCCTGTCATGCACAGAGCAGGGCCAATCAGGGGGTTGGGGTGCTGCCCCCATCACACACAGAGCAGGGCCCATCAGGGGGTTGGGGCACCGCCCTCTATCACCCACAGAGCAGGGCCGATCAGGGGGTTGGGGCGCTGCCACTCTCACATTCAGGGCAGGGCCGATGGGGAGGTTATGGCTCTACCTCGTCACACACAGAGCAGGGCCCGTGGGGGGGGGGGGAGCTCCCCCCTATCAGGCACAGAGCAGGGCTGCTCAGGGGGTTGGAGCCCCGCCCCCTGTCACACACAGAGCCGCAGGGCGATCAGGGGGTTTGGGCGCTGCCCCCTGTCACGCTGATCCCAGTGCCGGGAGGCATATTACCCTTTTACTATATAGGGTAGAGGCCTGGTGCATGGGTGGGGCCGGCTGGTTTGCCCTGAAGGGTGTCCTGGATCAGGGTGGGGGTCCCCACTGGGGTGCCTGGCCAGCCTGGGTGAGGGGCTGAGGGCTGTTTTCAGGCTGGGGGTGACTGAAGCTCCCAACCGCTCCTTTTTTTCTTTTTTTTTTTTTTTTTTTTTTTTATTCTGGGCCAGCTTTACCTTGAGGCTTGGCTCCAGCTCATAGGCCTCCGCGGCTGAAAGTAGGTTTCTGGCCTTTGCTTACAATGTTTCGAATCTGCTGGCTGAAGTCCAGCGGTATTTGTTACAATGTTTCTTAAACTGCCCGCTCAGAGGCCTGCAGCCGCAGGCGGGGAACGTTGGTTTCCTCCGTCACTGAGGCAACCAAGCCTCATGTTAGTTTCAAGCTGCCTGGCTGCCGGCCGCCATCTTGGCTGACAGTTAATTTGCATATCTCGCTGATTAGCCAATGAAAAGGGTAGCGGTCGTACGCCAATTACCATGTTTCTCTTTTATTAGTGTAGATCAGCTAACCAACACCTACTAGCCATCTTTCTCTTAGAAAAGAAAACGTAATTAACATAAATGGAAGATCTTAGTTTATAGGGAATATTAATGATGAGGAAGTGCCTAAAAGTCTTAGAATCTTTAAAGTAACTACTGTGTCAAAATTTGCTTTTTTTGCACTTGAAATATTAGTAAATTCTTTTTTTTTCATTTATTGATTTTAGAGAAAGAAGAAGGGGGAGAGAAGGGAGAATATTTTTATTGTTCCACTTATTCATTGATCGATTCTTGTATGTCCCTAACTGGGGATCAAACCTGCAACCAGAATGGTATGTAACCAATTGAGCTACCCAGCCAAGGCATTTTTTTTTCTCAGATTCGCTGTGGATTACTTGTGGCATGATTTTATTATTTTTTTTATTATTTTTTTTCATTTTTTTTTTTATTATTAGTTAAGATATTAGAAATGTGTCCTCATCCCCCCCATTAACCCCCAACCTCCCCCCCCACACACACACACACACTCATGCTCCCATCCCCCTGTTGTCCATGTCCATTGGTTTGGCTTATATACATGTATACAAGTCCTTCAGTTGATCTCTTCCCCTTACCCCCACCCTCCCCTACTTTCCTTCTGGGGATTGATAGCCTGATCGCTGTTTCTCAGTCTTTGGATCTGTCCCTTTTCATCAGTCTGTGTTGTTCTCTATAATCCACAAATGAGTGAGATCATGTGGTATTTATCTTTCTCTGACTGGCTTATTTCACTTAGCATAATGAGCCAATGATACCACCGATAAGGGTTTAATTTCCAACATTTACAGGGATCTCATGAAACTTAACAAAAGGAAGATAAACAATCCAATAAAAAAATGGGCAACGGACCTAGATAGACACTTTTCAAAAGAGGACATACAGAAGGCCGAAAGACATATGAAAACATGCTCAAAGTCACTAATTATACGAGAGATGCAAATCAAAATGACAATGCGTTATCATCTCACACCTGTCAGAATGGCTATCATCAACAAATCAACAAACAACAAGTGTTGGAGAGGATGTGGAGAAAAAGGAACCTTTATGCACTGCTGGTGGGAATGCAGACTGGTGCAGCCACTGTGGAGAACAATATGGAGCTACCTCAAAAACCTAAAAATGGAACTCCCATTTGACCCAGTGATCCCACTACTAGGAATATATCCCAAGAAACCAGAAACGCCAATCAGAAAGGATATATGCACCCCTATGTTCATAGCAGCACAATTCACCATAGCTAAGATTTGGAAACAGCCTAAGTGCCCATCAGCAGATGAGTGGATTAGAAAACTGTGGTACATATACACAATGGAATACTATGCTGCGGTAAAAAAAAGGAACTCTTGCCTTTTGCAACAGCATGGATGGAACTTGTGGCATGATTTTAGATTTAACTTTCATCTACATTTTCCACCCAACATATTTTCTTGCACTAAGTGATATTTTAATTCTATATGTATTCAAATGAAAGTTTGCATGAATTACCTATGAATTTACATATGTAATTTAGTTTTTATTTAATTGACTTTAGTATTCTAGTAGAGAAGTTAAATTTCTTTCTTTTGCCCTAGCCAGTTTGGCTCACGGGATAGAGCGTCGGCCTGGGGACTGAAGAGTCCCAGGTTCGATTCCAGTCAAGGGCATGTACCTTGGTTGCAGGCACATCCCCAGTAAGGGGTGTGCAGGAGGCAGCTGATCTATGCTTCTCTCTCATTGATGTTTCTAACTCTTTATCCCTCTCCCTTCCTTTCTGTAAAAAAATCAATAAAATATATTTTTAAAAAAATTTCTTTCTTTTGATTTCAGGTTATAGTTGGACAATGGTGAAAGAGATGGAATGCATATGCAATGAACTAAGTCAGCCTGTAACTTTTCCTGTCAGAGCAGCATTAGTCAGGCAGTCTTGTTCTCAGTTTCTTTGGCTGTTAAAGAAATCAAACAGGTATGTATAAGTTTAACAGCATAGAGTGTGCATGTGAGTGTGTGTGAAAGACAGAGACAAAGGATGGAAACTAATTATGTCAAGACGGTGTGTGTAGGAGAGGATATGAACACTGATTCTGTAAGCATATAGACTCCCTCACTAGAGTGAAGCTTCTTTTTTTTTATATATATATATATTTTATTGATTTTTTACAGAGAGGAAGGGAGAGAGACAGAGAGTTAGAAACATCGATGAGAGAGAATCATCGATCAGCTGCCTCCTGCACATCTCCCACTGAGGATATGCCCGCAACCCAGGTACATGCCCTTGACCGGAATTGAACCTGGGACCTCTCAGTCCGCAGGCCGATGCTCTATCCACTGAGCCAAACCGGTTTCGGCTAGAGTGAAGCTTCTTAATGAACCTTAACATTGTCTCTTCCTCAGTTTTTGCACATAATAGGTGCCCAGTAAATGTCACTTTTTTCATTGCTATACATTGACAAATTTTTAAGCAGATAAAATAGTTACCCTCTGAATTCTATAATAATTTCAGAAGTCTATTCCATGAAAACTTTTTTTTCATCCTCACCCAAGGCTATTTTTAATTGATTTTTTGAGAGAGAGGGAGACAGAGAGAGAGAGAGAAAGAGAAAATGAGAAACATTGATGTAAAAGAGAACAATTGGCCGCCTCTACGAACCCTGACCAGGAATCGAACCCACAACCCTTTTGGCTTACGGAAGGACACTCCAGCCAACTGGGCCACCCGGCTGGGTTCTTTGTCTTTGAGGCTTAGTAATTTTACTAGACTGTGTCTCCATAAGGACCATTCTGTACCTTATGGAGACACAGGGATGTGGACTTCTTTTCACTATGTAGATTCAAATGTTATTTTCTGAAATATTTCTGTGAATTATATTTTTATATATTTGTTCTTTTGCATTTGTAACACTATGATTTCTCTTTTAGGGACTCCTATTATGAATATGTAAATCTCCTTTGCTTATCTTTGTTATCTATTATTTTCTCTCTAGTCTCTCCTTTTATTTGCATTTTATTTGATTTGATTTTATAATTTGTCTTTTCTGTCCCTTACTGTATTTTCAATAATGTCTTTTCTTCCTTGTATACCTTTAGATTTAATATTGTTTTTGTAATAGTATTAATTTTCCACTTCTTTCCTAAGATCTGCCAGTTAATGTTTTACCACCTCCTTTCTGTTGTCTTGCATTTGAGTTCATATCTCTACTTTGTGCTCTTTCTTCAGAGGCAATTGCATCAATTAAAAAATGTTTGGTTGTGGTTTTCATCTGTTTTGTGGCATTCTTTTTGTTCATTTGTTTTATCTTTTTCAGCTATCTGATAGTTATTTAAAGATGAGGTATTTATTATTCCATCTGCCATTTGTTTTTTCTTATATTTTATTGTACTGTCTTGTATAAAACCTCTGCCAAATTATTTTGATTATTCTACTTTAACGAAAGTGAGGTCTTTTAGATCAGCTACTTGTCCAATGTTCATATTTGAGAGGAACTAGGGCTATGGTTCTTATGACCCAGAGAGTCTTACGTGTGAGTTTGTTTAACCTTTAACTTCTCCCCAGTCAGTGCTAATAGGTGGTTGTAGTTTAAGTAAAATCTTCCATCTATTTCTTAAATTTAAAATGTTGGGTTTCCATAGCAGTGGCCTTGTTCCCTATGGCATTTCTGTGTAAAGTCTTTCCTTGTCTCCACTGCTTCTCGGGACCAAAGCTGATCCAGGAAACTCTGTAAAGTGTTTAGGTAGAAATTGCTCCTCATCTGTAAGTGGCGTTTGTAGGCTTCCTCTGTAAACTGCTACATGGGCGAACTCCATCTCCTTATGTACCTGTCTGGCCTTAATGTATTGCCACTGGAAACCTTTTTTACCTGTTTTGTAATTTTCAGTTTCAGCTCGTTCTTAATTTCATTGAATATCAAGTTTCTGTTTTCATTCTTCTGTTCTTTTTGCTGCTTTTGGGTGATTCTTAGGAGAAAAGGGAAGCAGGGCTGACTTTAGGCTGCCATGTTCAAATAGGATGTTCCTACCATCCCATTTCTTTCATTATCTCTTGCCTCAATTTTCTCATCTTCCACTTCTTGTGTAGCCAATCACTCCCCTGAAATTTCTCATTTGAAGATCACACTTTGTTCAAGCCAAATTCTTTACCTCTGCAACACTTAATTAAGTACTGCTGGTCACCCCCTTCGGTCTGAAACTTCCTTGTCTTTCACCTCATGGCATTGCACTAAGTGGGTTCTTCTGTGTCTGTCTAGTTCTTCTTTGTTGTTGATGATTTCTTTTTCTCCATCCTTAGTGTTTCATTTCTCTTGACTCCATCTCTTTCAGAGTTTTCTTGTTTTAAATATGAAAGGTGAAATAATAAAGCTTTAATGGAATATAGCACTAGAAACTATCTTCACTACATTGGGCAAGGGGAAGAATTCTTAAACAAGATACAAAAATCACTAGCCATAAAGGGATATGTTTGAGTAATTTGAATACATGAAAATTCAGAAATTCTTTCTATCAAATGATACCATGAAGAGCATGAACAGGATAGACAGAATTAGGGAAGATTTTTATCTAATCTAATGAGGGAATATGCAAATTGACCATCACACCCTCACAAAGATGGAGTCCCCCAGTCATTTCAGCCCCGCCACTGGCAGCAAGCAGGCAAGCAGGCCTTGCAGAGAGCGAGCGGACAGCAGGTCCTGCTTGCCCATTGCTGCGGCAACTGGCGGGCAGGCAAGCAGGCCCCACAGAGAGTGAGCAGACAGCACGGCCTGCTTGCTTGCCCGTCGCCATAGCGACTGGCAGACAGGTAAGCAGGCCCCGCAGAGAGCAGAGAACCACGGAGAGCAGGCCTAAGCTGTCAGTAGGACATCCCCTGAGAACTCCTGGATTGGAGAGGGTGCAGGTCGGGCTGAGGGACACCCCCCCCCCACTTCCCCGTGCACGAATTTCATGCACCAGGCCTCTAGTTAGATTCATAAAGAACTATCATTCTATTACTTATATATCACAATTTATTTATCTATTCTATTATTGAATGACATTTAGATTGTTTCATGGTTTTATTGATTTTAGAGAAGGAGGGAGAGAGAAACAGCTGTGTGAGAGAGAAATATCAAATGACTGCCTTCGCACACCCCCTATTAGGGAGTGAGCCCACAACTTGGGCACGTGCTCTGACCAGGAATAGAACAGGCAACCTCTTGGTGCATGGGACGATGCTCAACCTGCTGAGCCATACTGGCCAGAGCCGTTTCATGGTTTTGACTGTTACAAAAGATTGCTGCTGAGAACATTTATACACACACACACACACACACACACACCCCTCATGGTGACATGTGCCTGCATTTAGAACAGTTATATCAGGAGAGAATTCTAGGAATAGAATTTTTAGGTCTTAGGGTATTCATATTTTCAACTTTAGTAGATAATGCTAAACTATTTTCCAAAGAAAATGAATAAACTGTAGTAGCTACATGATTCAACTTGGATAAATTTCACAATGTTCAGCAAAAGAATCAAGACCAAAAATTATATTCTATACCATATTATTCCATTTATATAAAATTCATTAAAAGAAAAAATTAAACTGTTTTATTTAGGGATGAATACATAGTTGGTAAATAAAGAAAAGCAAGAAGATGGCTACCACGAAAGTCAAGGTTGTGAGGACTCCTGGGGAGAGGCAAGGTTGTGGTGGGGCAGTGACAAAGGTGCCTCTCGAGGTGCTGGTAATGTTCTATTTCTTGACTTGTTTTAGTTACACTGGAGTTAATTTTCTAATAATTTGTTAAAATGTACACTTACACATTTTTCCTACATATGGTATTTCACTATAAAAAGGGCTTTAAATATAAGACCTGAGAATTGATTTGAAGGAATACAATTCAAGATATCCTTAGGCGATTTTATTTTTCCTATTTTAGTTTAAGTAAACAGGGGGAAGATTAAAAGAGAGAACTCTAGAAAGCTCTGGAAAGCTCTTTTTTTAAAAAAAAAATTATTTTTTATTGATTTCAGAGAGGAAGGAGGAGAGAGAGATTGAAACATCAGTGATGAGAGAGAATCATTGGTTGGCTGCCTCCTGTATGCCCCCTACTGGGGATTGAGCCCACAACCCAGGCATGTTCCCTTGACCAGAATCGAACCTGGAACTCTTCAGTCCACAGGTGGGCACTCTATCCACTGAGCCAAACCGGCTAGGGCTGGAAAGCTCTTCTTTTAACCTCAGTTCACATCATGTCTTTTTATACATTTTGTCACCATAGTGCTCAAAATCAGTAGATGCCATATTAGCAAAAATAATAGATTTATAAAGTAGTTCTCATTTTCTTTTTTCCCCCCCGTTCTCAGAATTTAAAAGTCCATTTTGATTTGTCACATAATATTGCTATGGAAGAAAATCCAAAAGTACTTCCCTCTATTACATTTCCAGAATGGTGTCACCATCCTTAAGGACAGGAATGTGTCAGTATAACAAGAATATGTGCCTTCGTTAGACTACTTTTTGGTCATTGGTAGAAAAAATGCTTTGGAGATTTTCCCCTGGATTTGACATGTTTATGGGGAAAATAAATACGAAACTAACAGCTTTGCATTTCTCTAGACTCCAGTGCAACAGGAAAATGTCACTGAAATGAAAATATACAATTTATATAGCATTAAAATTCTGAGCATATTCTTTTTTTAAAATATATTTTTATTAATTTCAGAGAGGAAGGAAGAGGGGAGAGATATAGAAACATAAATGATGAGAGAGAATAATTGATTGGCTGCTTCCCGCACACTCCCACTGGGGATTGAGCATGTAACCTGGGCATGTGCCCTTGACCAGAATCGAATCTGGGACCCTTCAGTCTGCAGGTCGACGCTCTATCCACTGAGCCAAACCGGCTAGGGCTGAGCATATTCTTATATCCATAACAAATCTACATATAGTATTAATGTTTTTTAACTCTAGAAGTAGATCTAAATTTATTCCATTTGGTATTTTCAGTGACATCTTGTAGCATATCTCAGACAGAAATCCCCAGAAGGAATAGTGAAGCCACTTACAAAGTGAATGAGTGTTGGGGGTGTCAGTGGCACTTGTGTCTGTTCACAGTCTCTTCCAGTTGTGCGCTGACTCTGGTCAGGCTACTGACGAAACCCAGGTTAGAGCTATAGCATTTGTGTCGAGAACAGATTCCTTGATCAGCAGTGCAATCTCCTCAGTTCTTTTGTCCAAAATTTGGCCTATTTTCAGTGCTACTAGTCTGAGTTTCCAAAGCCATTTAACATTCCTGTAATTCAGATACAGCAGTTAGCTAATTTAGCACCAGCACTGTAATTTTTTTTCCTCTTTAGTCCATTTAATGTTGATGAAGGAATGAAGGGATAATTTCACCATTGCTAATTAATTTTTTTTATCGGTGTGCATTTTGGTTGGAGACAAACTATTTTTAGGCTTATTGGAATTCCTCATCACTGTTTCTTATCTTCCACTTTTAACTATAGAATTCTGTTTTATTTTAATGCAGGTACAGCTTGACTATATGGACTGGAAAAAATGATAACTATTCCATTGAAGATTTACTTTGTATTAGAGACTATTTTGACAAAAAACAAGTTTTCTATGATATCTTGGAACCACAAAATTGTGAATTTAAACAAGCCATTGGAATAAAAGTTAATCTCTAAGAAGATTCTTCTAAATTATTTGGTTTCATAATCCTCTGCTCTGGTCTGAATTAATTACCATATAAATTGTGATGATTGAGTTATGCTCCAATTCATCCAATGAAAAAATACGTATTGAGTCCTAGCTGGTTTGGCTCAGCAGATAGAGCATCGGCCTGCGGACTGAAGGGTCCCAGGTTCGATTCCGGTCAAGGGCATGTATCTGGGTTGCGGGCACATCCCCAGTAGGAGATGTGCAGGAGGCAGCTGAATCGATGATTCTCTCTCATCGATGTTTCTAACTCTCTCTCCCTCTCCCTCTCCCTTCCTCTCTGTAAAAAATCAATGAAATATATTTTAAAAGAATACATATTGAGTGCTTACTGTGTATTAAGCATATGTCCTTATAATACTGTACTTACCTAAAAGATTTGGAAAGAAGAGATTTCATTGAGCCTAATCTAATAATTTAGAAAAAATGATATTTAAAACCCTTTATAAAAAATAATTCTGATATACTGAAAATAAAGAATCCATGTGTCATAATAGGTATGAATCACATTTTGTTGGCACTTACATTCCAGAGATCCACAAAAATGTGGCACCCTCTTCCCATTTTCCTGGAGAATTGGTTATTTCAGAGACTACAAAAGAGTAAGAAGGCTTCAGAAGTATTTTTATTTATTACTTGAGGCCCAGTGCACAAAATTTGTGCAAGGGGCTTGGCCCTTGCAGCCCCAGCTGCCTCGGCCGGCCCTCGCAGCCTCAGCTTCATCCAGAAGGTTGTCCGGACGGTTGTTCGGTATAATTAGCATATTAGCTCTTTTTTATATGGATTATTATTACTTTAAATATATTTTTATTGATTTCAGAGAGGAAGGAAGACGGAGAGATAGAAACATAAATAATGAGAATCATTGTTCGGCTGCCTCCTGCATGCCCCCTATTGGGGATCAAGCCCGCAACCTGGACATGTACCCTTGACTGGAATTGAACTCGGGACACTTCAGTCCATAGGCCAACGCTCTATCCACTGAGCAAAACCAGGTAGGGCTAGAAGTGTTAACTATTATAGGGCTGAAGAGCTTTCTCATTAACAAAATCGAATCCACTTACTGAATAAATTAAATTGGATGGACCTAGAATTTCCATATTGTTGGGAGCATGCTGACTGCTATGCATATCTTTGTATTCATTGTTTCAATCATAGTATCTTCTCTATAGTGAGCAAAATACTCTTGGAATTTTAATCCTGGTAATATATCATTTGATTTTCAAGTTTCTCACCACCTTAGTTCATGCCCTTCTTCTGCTCCTAGAATTTCAAAACCTAATTCTTCATAACTTCATTCTTCACACTCAGAGATACCCTGAGTATTTCTACATACATATCTGATTCCTGTTGCAAACATCTGTGACTTTCCATGGGGATGCCAGTGATATATTCTACTTAATGGAATGAAAAATCCCATAGGATGGTTTTACAGTCAGGCTCACACAACCTCATCTCCTAAGGGTTCTTGGGATTGATAGAGGACTACAAATTCTTCTAAATGTGGCCAACAAAGTTTTAATCCTACTAAAATATATATATATTTATATTGGGATGAGAATAGAAACAACAGTTTTTCTTTCATAGTTTTCTATTTACTCAAAGTAACATGTGGCACAGCTTCTCTTGAGATTATGTTGAAATATTTATCATTAGTATTTGAGATAAATAAAAAACAGTGATAATTAAAATAACATTTTAAAACTTTATTGATACCATTTTATGAACTAATCTATTTACATACTTTCCAGTCTGTATCCTTACAACTTAAAGCGAAGCACTTTTCTCAATATTAGAACTTGCAAAAAAGGATTTAGCTGCCTATAAACACCAGGTACAATTCTATGTTCTGAATAAAAATATATTTCTAATATAATTAATATTAATGTTCTTCAAAACATTAAATGGAACATCTCCAGGCTTTTTCCCAAATAAAAGCCACAAGAAATTAAATACTTACTATATACATTATAACTTGCTTATAACAAATTACCAAGAAAAGCATGATGCCCATTGTCAGGATCTCCTTACTGACAAAAAGCAAAGAAAGTTGTATATGACAACATCAAATTAATACACTCAGGTTCTGTATAGTTTGATTTATTCTGTGCTGTAAACCGCTAGATTGAAATAAAGATTTTTTTGTATAAACACCATATTTTGAAATTTTATAGATAATGTAGTCATTTTATAATAGTAGCATGGTTTTCATTTATTTTGTTAAAAATTATTCACAGTATTCGCAGGTCATACAATACTACATTTTTGGAATGTCATACTAAGGAAATTATCCTTATACATCCTTATTATAGAAATGTCTAATAATTATATATTAGAAATAAAGACATTGTTTAATATTGACTACTTAGTACATTTTGTAATTAAGTTTCTACTGACTTTCTTAACTTTAGCTCACCTAAGCTAATAATCAGGTGGTTTCTTTTTTTCTTTTTCTTTTTTAATAAAATAAAGCAAGCAGTTAGTTTCTATTTGTGATGAACCTCAAACTTTTGGGATATTTTTGGGATTGTTTTTAGAAAGACAAAAATAAGTAAAGAGGAATGTTTTTTAACTTTAAAATATATTTTCATTGGGAGCGTATGGATAAACTTCAAAAAAATTAACAGGAATTAAAGGTATGGAAAATGAAGAATTCCATTACATTTTTGTTTAAATGTTTAAAAAAAACAAAGCAAAGCAAAAAACAGCACACAAACACTTGGCATAGATTATTACTACCACGTAAAACTTACCTACCATTTAACACTGATTAAGCTAACAACAGGAACATTAGTTTCTCTGTCTACTATAATGATTGACCATTAAAATTTTAACTAGATTTTCATCTACCTGCAGTCAACATTATATTTTATTGATTTCAGAGAGAGGAAGAGAAACATCAATGAGAGAGAATCATTGATTGGCTGCCTCCTGCACACCCCACATTGGGGATGGAGCCTGCAACCTGGGCGTGTGCCCTGATTGGGAATGGAACCATGACCTCCTGGTTTATAGGTCGATGCTCATACACTGAGCCACGCCGGCCTGGGCAACATTTTTAAAGAATCAGTTCATCCTTTTTTTGTAGTTTAAGCTGATAGATCATAGAACATTTCATAGCTGTCAGTATTTTCTTTTAGACTTTTTTGGGGTTTTTTTTAGTTAATCTTCATCCAAATAATGGAGCATATATTTTCCTTTGCTTTTCAGAGAAAGTGGAAGGGAGAGAGGGGGGAGAAATACGTTAGAGAAAAATACTTTTAACTTTTGAGAAAAATACTTGTAACTTTGAGAGAATTCCCTAACCGGAAACTCTAGAGTATTTGTGTCCACAGTGTCTCATATGACACACATGTTGATCCCCCTAATCATTATGGACTAACCAATTACAGTATTTAAAAGGATGAACATTTGAGATTTCTTCTCTAGTTGTATATTTCTCTGATAAAGACATATGAACAAAATACGTTTTCCAGCCATCTCTTAAAAATTTACTAACTGCTTGATTTGTTCTGTTTGCAATGACTGTCTCCTTAACATTTTTTTACTTTTAGGGAAAATAGGTACTGTTGGCATAAGCACTTTTTGACCACAAGAAAGAAGGCTGGGAATCTTGGTGACACTGACATCTGTGATGGGAGGGTGAGGACTCACATTTAAGGGTGGCAGAAATCCTGGTCTGGTTTGGGGAAAACTGTGATCTGAAGGGAAGGCTCCTGACCCACGCCTTTCTAACACTGCATGGTTCCTCCTGCTCAGGGGGCCTGGGGGGATAGTCTCCGACAAGTCTTTGGACCCTGACAACAAGGAAGGAGTTGGTGAGAGGATCTTTTTCTTTCCGGTAAGTGCTTTGCCATCCTCTGAAGTTGTAGGGATTAGACCAGCTGAGAGCTGGGAATCGGAGCTGTAGTGGTTTGCCCCTGAGTTTCTTTTTTGAACTATACTTCTTAAGGTGGAAGCAAATACTGTCTGGTTAGAGTCCGGGTCCTGGTCAATAGGGATTTCAATGCATTGCTGATTTCCTTCTGAAAAGCATGACTGATAATTCATTTCATCATATGACGTCTTTCTTGAGCTGGCCTGATCAAAGGCTCTTAGCAAATGTGCCGTGTCTTTTATGTCAATACTTTGGTGCCTAGTGATGAACCGCTTGGAAAGTGCCAGCCCATTGGTTTTGTAGGATAATTCTTCCTCTGGGGTAATATCCTGGAGCTCCTCTTGCAAAGAGGCCACTCTGTTCATTAATGAGGGGGGACTCTTGACCCAGGGTGGCTTGGGCCCATTAAGGGCCACAGCAGGCTTCCTCACAGGAGAGCCCAAGTCCCGGGAATCATCACAGCTTCCCAAGAACTCCACATCATTAAAGCCAAAAACTCTCATATCAGTTTCAGAAGAATGTGAAAGTGGCATCGAGACTGTTTTTATGTCTATTTCTGAAGGGGTGACACAGGTGGCTTGGGAATGACACCCATCTATATCCGAAGGAGGCATATTTAAGTACTGCTGGGTAGTGTGCCTGCCAGAGGGCGATTTCGCTGTTGTTATGATAATGACCTCTTTTCCTTTAGCCTTGCAAGCACTAAGTAGAACTTTCAGGGTCTCTTTATCTTCTGAATTGAGAGCATAAACAAGGGCTGAGTAACTAGAATGGTCTTGCAAGCTGAGGTCGGCCCCACTCTGTAGGAGCAAGGAAACAACTTCAGGGCCAGCTTTCTCTAAGCAAGCATGCATCAAAGCGGTTTTCCCAGACTTGTCCTGTATGTTGGGATCAGCATTGTTTTCTAACAGGTATTTAACCATTTTGGCTTTACTGACACTCTGGTGATCCACATGTTTGGTCTTACAGGCGATCATTAAAGGTGTTTCCCCACGGTCATTGCTCTCATTGATGTAGGCGCCGCCTTCTAGCAGGAGTCTTGTGAGGCGAAGCCGGCTCAGATGGACTGCTTTTATCAGGGAATTTCCATCACTTGAAATTTCTACACCTTCATCCATCTTCAAAAGTCAGAAATCAATACCTGCTTATCAAAGAAGATGAAGACCAAAAGATTAGCCAAAATCAATGTCCTCATTTATATTCATGTTTTTGCATACAATTTCTGAAATATGTATGGAGAAAGAGGACATAAATGAGATTGTCATTAATAAGTACAGGACAAAATAGTGAATTACAAAATTAAAAAATTTTAGACTAGTAACAAGCTTTAGGAAGTTACAAACTAAAATTTACTTTTAGAATCTTCACTGAATACTTATGCTGTAACACCAACCTAGTACTGTATACATATTCCATCTTACAATAAATAAAAGTAGTATCATACAAAAGAACATGTGAAATATCCCACATTAATTAAATAATAATCAGCTTTTTAATCCAAGCCCTTTAATCATGAGACAGTCAAAACAAAAAGCAAAAGAAAAGGCCTCTTACATGAAAAATACAGAGACCAGAACAAACAGAATAAAAGCAACTTGGAGGTTACAGATATTAATTAGTCAGGAAAATGAAAACTGCAAAAGCTCATTATCCCCAAAGGGATAAGATGATGTAACCAAGAAACAACAAGATTCTATGGAAAAGTGAATAAGATCCAGAGACTCTTCAGCTTATCTCCTGAAAGCTCCATCATATGTCATTGTCAATATTGACCTTTCTTTATTCATCCAATTTTTCAAAAATAAACAATTAATTTACTTAAGAATCATACACAAATGGGAAACTGAAGAGAAAAGCAAAAAGGAGTGATTAACAAAATCAAGAGGAAGTTATCTCGTGGGGGTGGGGTGTAGAGAACAATAAAATCTGGGAGGGAGGCCTGGGGAATTTTAAGATTCAGGTAATGTTCTGTTTCTCTCCCTGTGCAGCATGGATATAGATGTCCATTTTATTATTGTTTTTTAAAACAGTACATATTTCACATGTTCTTTCGTATGATTCTACTACTCATCTATTTATTGTAAAATGGAACATGTATACAGAACAAGAGCATAGCGCTTCTATAGGATGTTTCATAATTACGTTTTACAAAGCGTCTATCACATCTTAGTTTTTACAACATAGTTCAGTTTTTGTGGTAGTACCAACAGCATTGATGCCTAGATATTCAAGGAGCTTCAGCTACTATGTTCCTGAAAGGCGGCATTCAAAAGAATATCCTTACTAACTTCCTCATTAGTATCATTCCTGATGCTAAGCAGAGGACAACTACTCAATATACAAATACATAAACACAATGAAAGTGAATGCTGTGATCTACTTTATGATCTACTGAAGTTATTCCAGAGCCAGACATACCTGCAACTCAGGAACTTAGGAATTTTAGGACTGGCTGACAGCGTGGGTCCCAACCCAGAGGTCTATTCTGAATGCAAAGCATCTGAAAAGAGCTCACGTGAGACAGTGATTCAAAAGAAACCTTTTAGCATTTTTAAACTACAAATGTGTTTAATAGGATTAAAGCAACAGGATTTAGAGAAATGATTGGAACATAATATTAAATATAGAAACCACTTAGTAACTGCAGTTCAAGAAGAAAATGGTATCAATAATGTAAAAACACTGTTGACCAAAAGCAGCATTTGAGAAACAGATACTCAGATGAGAACAAGTTCTCAGATACCACATTTTAATATTATACTCTCATGTAGTTTTTAGTATTGGGGCCAATATTGGTTTTTTTAAAATACTTCTCTTTTTTTGCCTACATCACATTCTAGTCTATAACTTTTTAAAAAATCTTTATTGTTGGAAGTATTACATATCCCCTTTATCCCCCATTGACTTCCTCCAGCCCACTGCTCCTCCCAACCCAGCACTGTCTGCGTCCATGGGTTCTGCATATATGCATAGAAAGTCTTTAGTTGATAACTCTTTTTTTAAAATAGTCTTATAAGAAACTTTGGGATTTTTAAACCTTTTCACCTATCCTCATGTAACAGCCGTTCTCCACAACACTAATTCTGACTACTTTCTGTCACAACTTTCCTTAAAGCTGGCATCAGGAGGTTCTGGGAGATGAAGGGGAGCTGGCAATGTACTGCCTGCTGGGGTGCCACACCGTAGTCCTATGGAAAGGGAGGGTGCTGTGGGCTCCAGGGCCTCAGAGAAGCTGAGCTATCCCACCACTAGCTCCTGGCAACCAGTGAATCTATCTGCCATGTGGGCGTAGGCAGACTCTCTACCCCAAGAACTGGAGGACTGTCTAGCAAAAACAACTCCATGAGGCTTACTAGTACTCTTTGTTCATTAAAAAACCCCTGGATTGTTGGCGTTGGTGGTGGTATTGCGGTGAGCATAGCTGCCTTCCAAAAAACCCCTGGATTGATCACTTTTTAGAACTGTTCACATTTAGTAGAGCAATTCTGAAAATCTTTAAACATTAAATTTTTCAGAGGAAAAAGTTGTCAAACACTTTCTTCTCCACATATGAACATAGCTGGTCTCCTAGTGTCTCATTTGTAATCAGTACCTTTTTGGAATAATGCCCTTGTCTTTATCTATACCCTCATCCTCTTTCACACTTGGTTCCTTTATCTTGCCCCAGCCATTTGCACAGCAAAAACGCTGACAATGAAGTTTGACTTATTTGCTCTTCCTAAAGGTAAGTCCTACCTGTGTGTGACAAGACCACTTCTTTCACCCACAGTTCTCCTAGTTCAGAAATGGCCTTGTCTCCTATCCCAACCTGTGAAACCCTCACTGAACATTAGGTGCTGACATTATCTTCACATTCAGTCAGACCCTTGGTTATAACCTAGCTTATAAATGATCCCCAAGTTCAGTTTTGCCTTCCCAACAGATAACAGTTCAGCTAGAGAATGTCTAGGGGTTAGACAGACCCAGATTTTTATCCCGACTCTCCTACTTACTAACTGAATGCCCTGCTCAAGTCTCTTAGCCTCAGAGCCTTGGGCTCCTCATCTGTGGAAAGGTAATCAGATAACATTCATCCCCTGGTGAAATCAATATCTACAAAAAGACTTTCTTGTTGTGCCTTCCTATCACTGCACTCTTCTTTTTAAAAAATTTGATCCCAGAATTTAGCCTTCTTTTATTTTTACCATGTCCCTAATCCACAGCCTACTTAAATAACAGGTAAAATATTTACAATGGTTTTTTTTAGGATGTGCAAATAATGTTCCCTAAACATAAATGGTATTTACCAAAATATGGAATGAAACTTTTAGGGAAAACAGGTACTTATAAAGAAAATAGGTACTTATAAAGAAAACAAGCATATTTTCTTTATAATTTTCTAGTGCAATAACTTCAACATTATTATAAGATTTTAATTGTTAAACAGCTGGATAAATTGTCTTTTTAAAAAATGTCTTTATTGATTTTAGAGAGAGAGGAAAGGAGAAGGAAAGAGAGAAACATTGATGTGAGTGAAACATCAATCAGTTGCCTTCCACATGCATCCCCACCAGTGACCGAACAGGCAACCTGGGCATATGCCCTGACTGGGAATTGAACCAGCGACCCTTCAGTCAGTGCACGGGACAATGCTTAACGAACTGAGCCACACTGGCTGGGGCTAAATTGCTTTTTATTTTAAAACTAGAGGCCTGGTGCATGAAATTCAGCCTGGCCAAAACAGGCTCTCCAACATCTCCGAGGGGTCCCAGATTGTGAGAGGGAGCAGGCCAGGTAGAGGGACCCCACTGGTGCATGATCGGGGCCGGGGAGGGACGTGGGAGGTTGGCCAGCTGGGGAGGAATCACGGGAGGGCTCCAGGGTGTATCCAGCCAGTCTTGCTCAGTCCCAATCGGTGGGACCCCAGCAGCAAACTAACCTACCGGTCATAGTGCCTTCCCCCTGGTGGTCAGTGCACGTCATAGTGAGCAGTGGAGCAGCCTTAGCATATCATTAGCATATTACGCTTTGATTGGTTGAACGGACAACTGGATGACTGGACACTTAGCATATTAGGCTTTTATTATATAGGATTAGAACATCTTTAAAATCACTTGCAATTCATTATGGTGTATTTACTATACTCATTTGGTCCTCTCTCTATTCTCAAGATGCCACTAAAATTACAATTTTGTTATTTTAAAAATGAAAAAGATACATATCCTAAAGAACAAAGAAAACTGGAGGACACATATCAGGGGAGCAATTTCAAACAAGCTTTGGAAACAGAGCAGGAATGGTGGCGTGGTAAACTGCCTTCGCATTGCAGAGGCTGCAACAGAAATTACCAGGGAGATGAGCAGGGAACCAGCTTACCCCTAAAGCCCATGAAGTTTAGGACGCAGAGGCCCTAAGTGACACAGCAAGTGGCAATGAGGCGCAGGGCTGAAAATGAGAGGATCACTCAAAGTCTGGGAACAGAACAAATGGACCCCAGGTTCTTTACCCCACCCCAAGTAGCAGACTCTTTTAGGCAAGAAAACAATGGTTTATTCTCTGAACAGATTGATCAAAAAAGCTCTAAACCTCATGGCAGCATGCTGAAAACAGAGGGATAAAGTGAGAGTCTACAGGCTGAATGGTGCACCCACCCCAGCTTTCTGCCCTGCTACCTGAAGACTGGATGCCAGGCTAAAGAAGTCAAAAACACTGGATCTTAGAATTATGACCCCTTTTAAAAACATCTGACAATAAATGAAGCAATTCAAACCATAACTGCATTCGCCTCTCCAGACACCCACTCTACATGGAAATAGAAAGTTACCTGAAAACATTATTCAAAATTTCATACTTCACTTATGCCTTTTCTCCCGCTGGATGCGTTTTCTGTCAGCCAGCTGTCAGTTCCTACGAAGGAATCAAAGCTATTCAGTTATGTAAATACCAATAATTTGTTGCACTCATCTCTCCCATTTGGAGTCTAGCTTTTTTTCATTCCTTAAGGCATCCCTACAGTGTTTGTTCAGTTAATCACATTTCACTGATTATGAGTCTTGTAAAAGTGGGTCCTATGCGTGGCAACCCTCTGTGTTTGCAGGATGCAGCCTGCCCTGTAAGCATGGCTGGCATAGGAAGGGAATCGGCATGCACCAGGTCAGGCCCCCATTCTGTGCAGGGGAGGAGGCTGCAAAGGGAAAGGTGGGAGCTCTCCCAAAGTCATTCCTCTTATTTGCCTGCACCCCAGGGCTTATGTAGAAGTTCCTGTGTCCTTTATCTTATGTTCCCAGTTTCCCACAGAGTAAGTGCCTGATTCGTGTGGTGTCTAACTCCCCAGTGCAACATGGGCTGAAGCACTTTAAAAGTCATCTTGGAAATGGTAGGCTTGGCCTTTCCTGTGGTGTTTTCTCCCTGTGCCACCTCCAGTTTTCCTTTCATTTGGAGAGAAATGTTATTTTCCTTTGAGTCTCTTACTCCACCTCCCAAAAAAGGATTGTGCCCCCTCTCATAATGTCAGCTGTCTGACATGGTGGGGGAGGGCACCAAGGGGGTGGAAATTAACAAATGCTTGCCCCTCCCTGCCTTTGTGCTGCCCACAAGGGGACAAAGCCAGCTTAGAGAAGGCAGCAGGCTGTGTATCAGAGGTCTAGGCTTTGTCTCTTCCCAAGTTACCCACCCTTGGGAAGCTAATGCTCTGAGCCTCCGTTTCCTCATCCCTAAAATGGGGATAAAATCTACTTTATAGTAGATAATTGTGAGGATTTAAAAGACCCTAATACACTGGTCTCTTAAGACTTCAATAAATGTCAGTTTCTGAACACCCATCACTAAATGAGAATCCTCTGGGCTGGTGGGGTCTGACACTGACAGGCAAGGTCCCTATAACCAAAGGGCAGAAGAATCACATGAAGAGTTTGTTAAAAAGACTCCAGTCTCCACTTCCAGATATTCAATAGGGGGTGCCATCTATGCCCACTTGGAGAAAATCCTCATTCCTCATTCCGTCACCCACATCCTATGTGCTACCAACCCCTGCTCAGGATCCCACCAGGCTGCCTCTGGCATCACCTCCCAATGGTCTGATGCTCAACTCCCCTGCAGGAGTGAAGGGCAGGGATGGCTGCCACAGCCTAGATGTAGAGGGAGCCCACAGGCCCAGAGAAGAGTACAGCCTTGAATTAGATGGACCAAGGACTGGAGGCGTGCTGCCCTGCCCTGCCCTCCCCAGAGAGAGCTGCAAAAATTCAGAGTCCCAGCAGACAGCCCAAGGCCAGGATGCAGAGGTCAGCTGCACCTGGAATGAAGCAACTCTGCCTGCCACAAGCAAAATATGTCTCTTCCCCACGCAAGGAAAGGGAGCAGTGTCAGAACAAAAAATGCATCCGAGATTGCCCCAGGAAATGTCATGACCTGCCAGGAAGAGTGTTTTACCCTGGCACCAGCTAGTAAATATTTAGTAACTGTTCAAGGGAAAGAGTAACTGGTAAGGTTTACCCTATTTCCCACATGTACCCCCAAAGGGCTAATGTCTTCTCAAACTTACTTCGCTGTCCCCCAAGCCTCTGGGCCTTGGGCCAGCTACACCCCCACCCCAGAACATACACATAAGATCAGCAAAACTATACCTCCAACTGTCAGGGATCCAAGCTGTTGAGGATTCTGGCAGCGTCTCCACAGACCCAGCCGGCTCTGGGAACCAAGCTCCTTCAGTTTTTTTTCAGAGTGCGGTGGGAGCGAACCCCAAGTGCTGTCGGAGAAGGGCAAAGGAAGGTGACTGGGGCGACAGCGCCGGGGCACGGATGGGGGTGGGGTGCGCGTTTCCTCGCCTGGTCTCTGAGCTAAGCAGGCAGGCCATCTACGAAATGGGGTTCAGCACAGAGCCTCCCCAAGCTGCCCTCCCGGAGGACGCTGCCCTCCCTTAGGAAATGGTATGCCCGAGGAGAGAAGCCATGGCCTCCATCCCGGGCAGGTGCACCTCTGGACCCCTGCTCTCTGGTAACGAATTCCAAGGTTTTGGTGCCAAAGCTGTACGCGCCGGAGAGGCGCCGAGTCCCAGCTGCCCGCCCCTGTGTGGCTCGCGTTTGTGAAGCCAGTGGCTGCAAACAGCTCCGCAGCCCCCAGCTCGCCCTCCGCGACCAGCCTGCACCTCCCACAGCCCCGGCGCCCCAGGCACCTGCGGAGACGCGCCAAGTCCGACCCTCCGCCCCGCACGCTCCTGCGGCCGAACGCGCGCCGCTCGGGCTGGGCGCCGACCCGCATTCTCCCAGACATCCCGCGGCCACGGGCGGCCTCACCGGTTCCCGGCGCGGCGAGGAGAGAGCAGGCGAAACCCGCATCCCGGCGGGGTCCAAGCTCGAGCCGCCGCAAAGCCCGCGGTGGCAGGGCTGAGTCTCTGGACAGGCCCCTGAGACCCGGGGACCCTCGATTGGCGCGGGTCTCGGGGTGCGCGGTTGGTGCGTCTCCCAGGGCCTGGAAGCCCTGGACGCGGCGCACAGAGGCCGCGGGGCCCCGGGCCGTGCCCTCATTGCTCTCCTCCCGGCAGCCCACACGGCAAACCAAAGTTTCCCCAAGTGCAGCCTGCAGAGCGGGCGCCGCACACTGACCTGGGACGCGCTGTCGAGTCGCGGCGGCACCGCCTTCCGCCTCCCGGGCTCTGCTAGGACCCTCCGCGCAGGTGACCCTAGGGCGCCCACCCTGTTGGATTGTGGTCTTCGGCGGTTCAGTTCGCAGATGCTGGTAGGTGCCACCCGGTCCCCGCCCCTGTTCGTCTGAAAAAGACAGGCGGCGGCTGGGAGCCGCGACGCGGCCGAGTGGGGGCCCGGAGGCGCGCGCCTCGCCAGACGCCCGGGCCTCGCGGCGCTTCCGCTGGGAGTGGCTCGCCCGCTGGGGCTGAGCTGCTGGTGGGGGCTGCAGGTCAAAGTCGATCGGATTGCGGGGGGGGGGGGGGGGGGGCGGGGAGCTCAAGCCTCACAAGCTCCGCCTTCTGTCGCCAGAAGAACCCCTCCCCACTCAAACTGGTCCCTGGGCTTTGGCCATGCCGATTTGGCCCAGAGAACGGACCGCAGGGTCTTCCCACTGTAGAGAGATGGCCACCCCTACTTCCCGGCTCCTGATCCCCCCCCACCCCCGTTCATATCTTTGTTTTTTCCCAGTTCATATCCCCCACCCCCACCCCCTCACCGCACCCCACCCCATCCCGGGCTGATTCTGGTGTGACTCCCTCTAGGTAAAGCCAAAGCCTCGCTTCTCATTGGGGTATTGGTGGGAGCAACCGTCCCTGTTTCTATGCGTTTATAACTTTATACACTATTATTAAATATTAATATAACACGAACAAAATTTCACAAAGTACATTCTACGTGTTAAACCTCACTAGGGACAAAAAAGAGGAAATTAAGTAGAAGCAACGCTTTTTACTCCATTTATCAGGGATCGACGGGTGGGGAAAAGACCATTTTCTGTTGTTCAGAAAATGTTAATCAAAACTAGTTTGTAGTTTTGAGTCCTCAAAAGGGGAAAGTGGGCTTATCTCTGGGTAGGCTTCCTTTACTTAGGAAAACAACCCGCTGAAATAGACTCTTTAGTGAATATCTGTAAAGAAAGTTCACAGGATGTTTTAACCCAGACTTAGGTTCTAGGGACCTAGAATCCTGGATCTGTGTCCAGCGAGGGGAGATTGGAAGTTCCTGGGGAGGATGCGGCAAATCTGCATTGAAGGCACAGATCTCCTTTCTCCCATTAAAATAACAGAAAGTTTCTATTAACTTATAGAACATATTTAATGGTGCATATTTCGCAAGTTCAATGATTTTGCACAAACTGAGGCATCATTTAGATCAAGAGACTGAACATTCAATACCAGCATCTCAGAAGACTCCCTCATATCCCTCCTTTGAGGAGGCAGGGAGAGTAGTGGCTTCAACCAGCATAGATTACTTTTACTTGCATTTGCACTTGATAGCAATTGGATCCTACAGAATTTCTCTGTTGTATGGCTTTCACTAGGCATGTTTAAGAGTTCCATACCGTCTATGGTAATAGTTGGTTCATTCTTATTGCTGTATAGTATTCCACTGTGTGAATGTACCTCAATTTATTCATTTTATCACTGACAGACATTTGGTAATTCTCAGGTTTGGGACATTACAAATAATGCTGCTAAGGACATTCTAGTAGACGTTTTTGGTGAACATATATACACATTTCTGATGGGTACATACCTAGGAGTTGAATTGTGAGTCTAAAGCAGGCATATTGCCAGCTTTTCAAAGTAGATGATGTAATTGTCATTCTGATTTTATTAGTTTTCTATTGCTGATTGTAACAAATTACCACAAACTCAGTGGCTTAAAACAACATGAATTTATTCTTACAGTTCTGGAGGTCAGATGTTTCAATTGGGTTTTATGGGACTAAGATTGTAAAGTGTTAGCAAGGCTGTGTGTCTTCTGGAGGCTCTAGGGCAGGGGTGGGCAACCTTTTTGTGAGTGCATGCCAAAACCAGCAAAATCTCTGACTCAAAATTCTTATGCGTGCCAACCCTAATTTTTTGAGAACATGTTACGCCTACTTGATATCTCTTAAGGTGTACGTATGTGAAGAACCTTGAAGAAATAATAAAATTCATTCGAGTGACAAAAACACAGTATATGATGATGAAAAATATTTATTTTTTGATGTATACATGGACACTGATAGTCTGACAGAAAACTTTATGACTCTGTTTGATATTATCAGTGGGACTTTTGCTGCTGCATCACTGATGACAGATTTTACATCAGGTTTATATTTCGTGACCTTCAGAGATATGCACGAGCTACTACTTTCATCCGTCAGGGTACTCCTATTACAAAATACCACAAAATACCATGTGCGGGCGCGCACGTACAGTGCGATTGAAACTTTGTGGCCCATGCGCAGAAGTCGGTATTTTGTGGAAGAGCCACACTCAAGGGGCCAAAGAGCCGCATGTGGCTCAAGAGCCACGGTTTGCCGACCACTGCTCTAGGTGAACTATATCTCAGAGGACCCTCCATGGCCACGGCCCTGGGGCGCCTAATATGCAAATAGACAGGACGGCAGAATGACCAGTCACTATGAGGCGCACTGACCACTAGGGGGCAGACACTCAATGAAGTAGCTGCCCCCTGGTGGTCAGTGCGCTCCCACAGGGGGAGTGCCTCTCAGCCAGACTAGCGCAGCAGTGGTGGCGGGAGCCTCTCCTGCCTCTGTGGCAGTGCTAAGGACCTCTCGGGGGATGTCCACCTGCCGGCTTATGCCTGCCTGCCTGATGGCCCCTAACTGCTTGCCTGCCTGCCTGATGGCCCCTAACCGCCTCTGCCTGCCTGCCCGATTGCCCCTAACTACTTTGGCTGCCTGCCCGATTGCCCCTAACTACTTTGGCTGCCTGCCTGATCGCCCTTAACAGCCTCTGCCTCTGTCCCTGCTGCCATGGCTTCATCCGGAAGAACATCCTAGAATGATGTCTGGAAGGTCGTTTGGCTCTCTGGTCTAATTAGCATATTATGCTTTTATTATTATAGATTATTATAGATGGAGCAAGGGAGGACATTGTGAGATTGATAGTTCAGAGTTTTTCCAAAACCTAATGACTATTTAAAATTGTCATTTTACTCTTGCTTTATCTTTTCTTTTTCCATCCAGTGACTCCTTTTACAAACTCTGGCCCCTGGGAAAACACTAATCCTCTTTGTTGAAGTATGCTGATGGCATTTCCCCTCCTAGGCTTCCTTGAACACAATGCATTTTCCCCAGGAGAGTGTGTCAGGTGAAATATTTGGCAAATTAGTAAAGGAAAAAGGATCCAAATAGCTTCAGAAACCACATTTTAATAGTTTGAAAGTTAGAACATTAAAAAACTCATGCATTGTTGGTTACAGTTTAATCATCCCCTGTGGTTCTGAGTTGCCCACCAAACTAAGCTTCATACTGGCCCCTGAGGTTCCCTTGCACAGTCTGATGTAGCTCGTCCAGCCTTAATGCCAGGATTTCCTGTGGAATTCATCCGCGTCCCAGCCATATTGAGTGTTGCTGGATTCTGGGTGCACATGGCCTGTTACTCAGCTTTCAGATGCCACTTTGTCATGAAGTACTTGCCCTCCCCGCCCCCAACCAAAGGCTGCAACCACAGTTTGTGGATTCTCTAGGACACTTAACACTGCCAGCCTGATGTCACAGTTATTTGGGTCCATGTCACATGGCCTTAGAGACAGAGAGCATGTCTTAACCATCTTTGCCTCTTGGCAGCCTCTGGCCACTGCTGGACACATAATAGGTGCTCATGAATGTGTATTACAGTGAATGTGTAGAGGGGTTGAAGAAACTAATCAAAGCAGGAGAGTCTTCCGTCAAAAATGTCGGCAAATCACAGCCTGTTGGTAAATCACAGCCTGTTGGTAAATCACAGCCTGTTGGTAAATCACAGCCTGTTGGTAAATCACAGCCTGTTGGCCAAGTTCAGCCACTGCTTGTTTTGGCAAGATCATGAGCTAAGAATTCTTTCACATTTTTAAATGATTGGAAGAATATTTCATGATATATGAAAATGATAGGAAATTCAAATATCAGTGTTCATAAAGTTTTATTGGAGCCCAGCCACACACTCATTTACATTTTCTAATATTTGGGAAAATGAAACAACCTATGACACTAAGTATGATAATTGTTTTGGTCAAGAAGTAAGAAGGTTGCCGAAACCGGTTTGGCTCAGTGGCTAGAGCGTGGGACTGCGGACTGAAAGGTCCCAGGTTCGATTCCGGTCAAGGGCATGTACCTGGGTTGCGGGCATATCCCCAGTAGGAGATGTGCAGGAGGCAGCTGATCGATGTTTCTCTCTCATCGATGTTTCTAACTCTCTATCTCTCTCCCTTCCTCTCTGTAAAAAATCAATAAAATATATTTAATAAAAAAAAAAAAAAAAAAAAAAGAAGTAAGAAGGTGCTCAGAGAACAGTGAGAATACCTTACCTTGCCTAGGCGGCATCAGGGAAGGCTTTTCAGAGGAGGTAACATTTTCTTTAAAAAAATTTAAAAATATATATATGTATTTTGTATTTATTTCAGGGAGAAAGGGAAAAGGAGAGAGAGTTAGAAACATTAATGATGAGAGAGAATAATTGATCCACACAATTGGGGATCAAGCCTGCAACCCAGGCATATGCCCTAACAAGGAATCGAACCAAACTGAACCATGACCTCCTGGTTCATAGGTCAATGCTCAACCACAGAGCCACTGTGGCCGAGCAAGGTGACATTTTCCAGTGAGACCTGAAGGACAGGTAGGTATCATATCAGTGAAGAATAGGGAGACTTTTACAAACTTCTATCTTCTGTAAGCCATTGTCATTTGAGGGTTTCTGTAACATGCATGCAAACCTATATCATAATGACTACATTCTCTGTGCCAGAACAGACACTTCCTTAAGCATGTTGCAGGACCTGCTTTTCCTGTGGATTGGAAGTCAGAGCCACAGGATGGACCAGTGTTGGGAAGAGCTTTGAGCTCCTGGATAGAGGACTCTGGGTTGCTGGCTGTTGTTTCTCTTTAGGGAGGTTTTCTTTGGGTGGCCCCCAAATATCTTAAAAATGTACAAAAACAAAAGGCTTGTTACATGCCGTTACCCCTGCAGTTTCTCAGACAAGTTTCTCTCTGTGAGTTTACTGTGTATCTGGAAGACTTTCTCAATCTTTGAGCTCCTTGACAAAACTCTCTTCTAGTACCGGGTTTTGGGAGGGTTCCACCTAACATCAGCAATTGGTGAGAGCCTCCTGGCCACTTTTGTTTTCAAGGTACCATATTTTTTCGTATATAAGACGCGCCCCCCCCCCCCC